TTTTTTTTTTTTTTTTTTTTTTAAAATTTAAATTTTTTTTTTATATTCCCCCATACAATTGCAAACGCCCATTCTGACCCCGATCCTTCCCTCCCGCCCCCCACCCCCAAAAGTGTCTCTGGTTCATATAGTTTTTTGTTGATTTTGATTTTCACTTTCTTATATTCATTTTCCTGGTCCCTTATTTAAGTTTTCTAGATTCCTGCTATGAGTGAGACCATCCGGTATTTTTTTTTTCTTTTTGGCTTATTTCGCTGAGCATGATCCCTTCAGCGCCATCCATGTTGCTGCAAATTGCTGTGTTTATCTTTTTGAATGCTGAGTAATATTCCATGGTATATATGTACCACATCTTCTTGATCCAGTCATCTATTTTTGGGCATTTGGGTTCTTCCAAGCTTAGCTATTGTAAACATGCTGCATACATAGGAGTGCAGGTGCTCTTTGGAATTGATGTTTCTGTGTCCTTTGGGTAAATACCTAGGAGTGGATTGCTGGATCATATGGAAGCTCTATGTTTAGTAGGTCCAGAAATCTCCACAACAGCTCTCCATAGTGGTTGGACCAGTTTGCACTCCCACCAACAGTGCACAAGAGTTCCTTTTTCTCCATCCTCGCCAACATTTGTTGTTGCTAGTTTTTTTAATATGTGCCATTCTCACTGGTGTGAGATGGTATCTCATGGTGTTTTTGATTTGCATTTCCTGATGACAAGTGATGTTGAACATTTTTTCATATGTCTGTTGGCCATTTGCATTTCCTCTTCAGAGAAGTTTCTTTTTAGCTCTTCTGCCCATTTTTTGAGGATTATTTTCTTTGTTGTTGCTGAGTCTCATCAGCTCTTTGCAGATTTTTGTGATCAGTCCTTTATCATTAGTGTTGGGTGCAAAAATGTTCTCCCAGTTGGTGGGGTTCTCTTTGTTTTTGTTATTGTCTCTTTTGCTGTGCAGAAGCTCTTTAATTTGATGTAGTCCCAGCTGTTTATCTTTCTCTTCACTATCACTGCTTTGGGTGATGTGTCTGTAAAGATGTCTTTGATGTGCAAATCCGTAGTGTTTCGCCTATATTTCCTTCTATGTATTTTATGGTTTCAGGTCTTATGTCTAGTTCTTTAATCCATTTTGAGTTGATTTTTGTGTATGGTGTGAGGTAGTGGTCAAGCTTCATTCTTTTGCATGTAGCGACCGTTTTTCCCAGCACCATTTATTGAACAAACTTTCTTTGCTCCAATGCATAGTCTTTGCTCCTTTGTCAAAGATTAGTTGACCATAAATCTGTGGGTTTATTTCTGGATTTTCTATTCGATTCCATTGGTCTGTATGTCTGTTCTTGTTCCAATACCATGCAGTTTTGATGATTATGGCTTTGTAGTATAGTTTGAAGTCTGGGAGTGTGATGCCTCCATTTCCTTCTTTTTTTTTCAGTAGAGCTTTGGCTATTCGGGTTTTTTGGTGATTCCATATGAATTTTCATCAATAATTGTTCTATTTCTTTGAAGAATGCCATTGAGATTTTGATTGGAATAGCATTGAATCTGTATATTGCTTTTGGTAGGATGGCCATTTTAATAATGTTTATTCTTCCAATCCATGAGCAGGGA